CTTCCTTGGTCTGCTACATTGGGGGTCGACGTTGTATAAACCTGATAATCATCACACTCTTTTCAGGTGTTTGTCTTTACATTATAAAGCAGAAGCAAAAGAGGATAACCAAGTTTGATAAATGCTTTTTCACTTAAAATCCCACATCTTTTCATTTTATTGCATCACATCAGTTCTTAAAAGCATCAACTTTTAAACCCACATGACTGAAAAATCAGAGAAGCAGAGTGCAGAAAAGCTGCAAGTCCTTAAAATTTAAAAGGACAAAGAGTTCACGTTTAATAAAACATTTTTCCATATTCTGTCCATCTTAAAAGAAGCTGTTTCCATTTTTGCTTTTATTGGGTGCTCAGGTTGGAGCCTCTGTGTGAACCAAGTGGAATTTTGTTTTTTAATAGTTTATTTTACTCCGACCAGCCTTTGGAGCTCCTTGCTGTAAGATTACGCGGCGCCAAATTACGCACAGCCACTAAAGAGCCACATTGCCACCTCCAGCTCCTCACTTCTGAGCCTAGGAGGCACCAAACAGCGCGTGCATGGTGTTCTGCGAGGTGCTGCTGGTGGGGCTTGATGTGAACCAAATCGCAGAGAGATCCAAACTCCCGTTCGGAGAAAAAAAAAAAAATGAAATGACGTGATTTGAACATGTGCCCAAAATCCTTAATGAATAACTTAGGACGAGGAGGAGACAAATGCTGCCCCAGCTGTTTCCTGTCGAAAATGTCTGTGTAATGTAGATAAATGTGAGGGATTTTCTCTCTAAATCCGTCTCCTGTTCGCTAAATCTCACTTCTCCAAAACGAGCCTGCGCAATGGAACAAAGTCGGAATATTGAGATGTGACATTGCCCGCATCTTATCCTCTCATTTTTGCTCCTCTCCCTGTTTTTTTTTTTTTTAATGACTTCAAACAAGTTGCACCTTTTCGCCGGGTTTTGTCTTGTGGAGACCCGCGGGGATGTCTTGCGCTCATTCCTCTCAGTGGCATTTATGTGATGTCTTCAAGGTAATCTGATTTCCTTTGACACTAGATTACCACATTGGTTCTTCACATGCTCTCTGCACTTACTGAGCATCCCGGCTAAACTGAACCAATGAAATTGGGGTTTGTGCGCATTTTACGCACAAAAAATATAGATTTATGATCATTTTTGTGACTTTTTAAAATCATTTTTGCAGCAATGTGTGTTTTTTTTTTTATCACAAAATATACACCCTTTGCTTTAAATTGTGTTTTCTTCTTCTTCATTTTGAAGGATCTGCATGAATCGTGCATGAATGAGATTTTCACCCTCTGTGCGTCCCGGCATGCGCTCCTTTTTTTTCCCCACCAGAAAGCCCGCAGCTCTGAAACTTTCCCAATAATTTCTGCTGAGTGTGCATTATGAGAAGCTAAATAATCTTTACTGGCTTGGATTGTTGAGTGAAGAGAGTTTGATGCTTCAGTGCGCAGTGGAGCTGCAGATGGGTGATGACAAGTGTTTATTCTCTTTATTAGTGGGATTAGTGTTAAGTATATCTGGCTCAGTCAAGTTTCTCAGTTGGCTTTGGCGGAAGAGTTGTTTTCCATCTCACATTTTTGGCTCGGAAGCCTTCCTTGGTGTTTTCTCCCCTCTCCTGCATCTTTTATTTCTGAATAAGTTTGTGCGTAAAAGCGCGCAGACAGCTGCGTTTTTAGTCAATCCATAAACTGAACTGGTTGTTGTTATATTAAATGGATGAATGGTTGTGTTTGGTTGTTATGGACTGTGACTAAGTTAGTTTAATGGGTGGAAGAAATGTTCAGCTTGGATGCGGTTGCGCACGGCGCTCCTGAGCATCAGTCTCCTGCTTGACTGACTTTGGCACCAAGTGGAGGTTTCATATAAAAAATAACTCTCAATGTTGCCATATGGCTTTTTCCCTTATCAGTTCTGAACTAGAAAAAAGCTCATTTGAGCCAAAAAATAATAATCTGTACCCGCTGAAGTTTAAAAAAAAAATAAAATGTTTAACTTGAGAACTCTTGCCTTGATGATGGTGTGTCTCCGGCAGTGAACATATCAAAGCTCTCTCCCTGTCTCCCCGTGCTCAGGGTGCGATGTGCTGTATCTCCTGTAGCCACACCCTCCCACTACTGCTGTGCGTCCTCATCCTGACTCCCACGGCAACAGGGGCGGGTCCTGAGACCCTGTGCGGGGCGGAGCTGGTCGACACGCTGCAGTTTGTCTGCGGAGAGAGAGGCTTTTATTTCAGTAAGTGCACCTTTTTATTTATTCATAAAGCCTGTCTGCATGTGTCCCAGAGCTCTCCACCTCCAGAAAGCTCATAAATAAACCAGCAGCCAGTTTGAAATCATGTCTTGACTTTCACTGCATTCATGTTCCTTCATTCTTTCACTCTTTTCTTTGAGTTTATTCTCATTTGTTCAAATGCTCCATTCTCACTTTTTGGCTTATATTATAAAATTTAAAAAAAAAGTTTTGTAGCTTTTTCCACAGGGGGGGGGGGGGGGGGGGGCTTTAAGTAGAATTTGGTGGAAAATTGGAGAGAAAGTAGGGGTATAATGGTGAAGTTTGCTCTATTTTCCATCAGAGAATGGAAAAGTATCCAAAGAAAGCCTGAGACAGAATCCAAGGTTTAAATCTCATTTTCTATATAAAGTGCACAAGAGAGCCCAACAGGGCAGGATAGAAGAAGTTTAATGTTCCAGCAGCCGGTGACTCTCAGAAGAATCATCCTCGTTCTGTCAAACATAGATCTTCACGTTAGACACAGGTTGAAGCTGCAGGAGTCAAGTTTAGAATGTCATCGTTCAGATTTATTTGGCCATTGTCCAGGATTTGTGCCAAATTGCACAAAATGTCCTCACATCCCTAACAAAACCCTTTTTGTACAACTGATTGTCCTTCTGGCTCATGAGCAGTTCGGACCCAACAAACCATTTATAAAGACTTTGGTTCTGTTCCAAAGTTATGAAAGATTTTCCACATGTGGTAGACGTTGTCAGCTGCCAGTTTCAAACAGAAGAGAAGAAGAAGATATAACGTTTCTGTTGGAGATCAGCATCTATAACACGTTTTCAGTTGTTCTCTTCACCTTCGCCTGAGCGTGTTTGGCCAAACGGTTCGAAAACGAACCCTTCTGAGAACCTGTTGACTGATGAGATTGAGGGCCAGGGGACGAGGGGGAGTGTTCGAGTCACAACCACAGCACAGCAGAAAATAAATACAGGAGGAACAGCTACATCAGCACATTTTATTGATATTAATATTAGCAACAACAACAAAAAAGAAGAAAAAGAAAAGAAAAGGAAGTCTGCAGCCATACTCCTGCATGTTAGCATGGAAACTCATTCAAATTCACATTGTAATAAAAACTGTTACCAAGTCACAGGTTGTGTTTCCAGAAAAATGTTCTGCAAAAAGTCAAATATTGCACACAAAAAAGTGTAAAAAAAAATTAAAATAAATAAATATATATATATATAT